AGGCAAGGCTGGGAACTAGAGTAGCAGCTGAGGATAATACTTACAAGTAGGGGTGGGGACTTCACTGCTTGCTGGCTGTCTGAGCGTCTCAGAGTGCCCCCCACCCTCCGACGCAACATCTGAGAACAGACACAAAAGTGCAGATGAGGCAAGATTTCTCCCTTCAGGATCCCAAATACTTCCCTCCCACTGAAGAAGCCTCATCCCTGGGACAAAAAGCCAGGAGAATGTAGCTGCTCAGCAGTCCTGGCCTGCTGCTGACCTTCCTGATACTGCCGCCAGATTTCTTCACCATCAGTTCATCCACCATGGACTGTAAGCAGATGCTCATCATGATAGCCTGAGGATAAGACAGCTCAGTCCACTACAGTGGTCACCTTAGGTCATAGCTCCCTAAACTGGCTCCCACTCACATGGAGTCCAGGAAGCCCCAGCCTCCCAGAAGGAGCCTTGAGTGTGGGTGCCCACCTGAGGACTAGTGATGGTGACCCACTGTAGCCGGTCTTTGCTCATGAGGTATTCAAAAGCCAGTTCCAGGCGCACTTCCCCCCGGCCCCGGCCTGGGCTGCTTGTGCCTCCGTTGGGCAATGGCACCTGGGAGATGACAGGAACTTAGGCTGAGTTTGTTCTAACTCAGCTTGCCAGGTCCCTTAGTAAGGCTCCCCTCCCATTCCAACTCACAGAGGAGGTGACCCGCCAGCATCGCATGCGGGTGACCCGGAATGAGCCTTCACGGAGTTGCTGGCCAGGCAGGCGGAGCTGCAGGCTGAGCTCACTGTTGCCTGCACTGACCACCACAGGACAGTCCTTCTCTGGGAAGTCAGCTACACAGGCATCAAAGCGCAGGTAGCCATAGTGCCGCAAGGTTTGAGCCAGCCGCAGGAACTGAAAAACGTCCACGTGTGGTGGGTTAGGAGGGGGGAGTGGGGCAAGTCAGAGCTGGCAACCCCTTGAAGACAGCAAGGCAAAGTTCACCTCCTTCTTGGAGACCTTCTCTTGCAGAGATTTGAGCTGCCGATGCTGCTCTTTGGTGACCAGGATCCACCCATGCTCAATATCTGACACAGTCTACAATAGAGACAAGAGTAGGAGGTGGGAGTGCCCAATGTATCTACAGTTAGCTTTGTCCAGCCTGACTCTGGCCCCATACATGAAAGACTTCTTCATTGAGAACTTGACCTTATTAGGTTATAAAGCAGGGAGAGTATAGATACTAGAAGTCCTGACAGTATTCTAGGAATTTCCCCATGAACTGGGAACAAAACATGAAAGGTCTTTTCTTGGTACAGTGGGACACCAGAGTCATTTTCAGGGCAAGGGTTCTGAGGCAGCTCCAAGCTCACCTGAGCATAAAGCAGGTTCAGGCCAACCCGGTTCTCCATGACATCGTCATCATAGGCAGAGTCCCAATAACTGTGAGGCCAAGGGGTGGAAAGGGGTAATGGGGCTAAGCTGGGGTGAGGCAGGAAGTAGAATGGGAAAGGGGCAAAACAGGAACAATCTGGGACTACTGGACTACAGTGAGAAGAAGTGTGGGAGGCCTGGTAGAAACACCCAGCACTACTCACATCCATATTATTCTGTCTTAATCTGTGGCCCAATAACCCAACCCACCACCCTCCCGCTTTTTCAGGCCCAGCCCTGACCTCTTCCTTAGTACAATCTTATACTCTTGACTCCGAAGACTGGTAACAGACACATACGGCAGCTCAAACTCCTGCAATTTCCGTACAACTATGGGTTAAAAACAAAAGGGAAATACAATAAGACTTGAAGGAACAGAAACTAAGAAACGCCCTGAGGAGGAAATGTTCCATTCGTAGGGGAGCTGGGAGATAAAAGCTGTAAAGCCCAGAGAAACTCACAGGAAAATGCACCATCCTCTTTTACTCGAACAAGGAAGAGACTAAAATATCCAATTAAGTCATCTGGAAGATCCAACTTTGCAGCCACAGCCTAGAGACAGGAAATATAGCTCATCTTACTGGCTGGTTCTACTCTTGCCCTAGCTGAGGCTCTGGGGTACAGGGGGCAGAGGGGCGATGGTGAACAAGCCTCACCTCCAGGACATCTTCAGTCTGATCTGAAGTTAGCACATTCACCAGAACTTTCTGCCCATTACTGAGCAGCACTTCCAAGGAGACTTCCTCTGTAGGGACCTGCTGTGTCTCCTATGTGAGCAGATGGGAATGGACAGCACTGGCTTGTTAATACCTGGTCTACCTCTTGTTAACTAACAACCACTTCTCATCTATCCAGACTTTCCATTTGTAGGTCTCTCAAATATAGGCTAAGATTTTTTCTTGATCTCAGTGTTACAGATGCTCCATATCAAAAAAAAAAAAAAAAAAAAAGAGCTTGGTGTCAATGGCTTACACCTGTAATCTTAGCTACTCAGAAGACTGAGATCTCAGGATCATGATTTGAAGTCAGTTGGGGCAGGAAAGTCCATGAGACAATTAATTACCAAGAAAGAAGTAAAGCTGTGGCTCAAATGGTAGAGCAAAAAAGCTAAGGGTCAGCGTCCAGGCTCTGAGTTCAACCACAGGAATGGCACCGAAAAATAAAAAAATTAAAAAATATATATATATATAACCACATCATTAAAATAGCATGGCTCTCCAGCAGTTTCTTCTCTTAAATCTGGATTCCACCCACAGCCTTACCTGTTGGGCCCGACGCAGGAAACTATTGAAGGTCTCACTGCTCCCAAGCAATGGGTCTTGCCGAACTGTGGGGATGAGAGAATGTTTAGTAATTTGGAACTTACTTTTGGCTTCCCCCAGTCCTCTTCTTAATATATTCCCCCCGACCCCATTTCCTGGGCTGATGGTGGCCTGCCACATCCCCCCGCTGGCCTCACCTCACTCACTGTTTGCATAAATTCTTCACCTGCCCCACCCTTCGCTGCCATCTAGTTGAGTCCAGTCTATAGAACTAGGGAAACAACAGTGATGTTAATCTAAAGCACATCAGATACAAAGTAAGCTCCCCACCAATCTAAATTGACTACTGTCATGCTAATATTTCCCATAGATGTTAGTGCCCCAGTTGCTTTGCTAGTATAGAGTTAAAAATCCTTGAAAGCTATTTACTTTGCTAATTAAATAGCAGATTAGAGCCTTCCCAGACCTAGAAATTAATGTAAGGCCTTCTATAGAGTCAGCTGCTTTTAATCTCTTCCCATGGTCCTTAAAATAGACTAAATTTCCTCCAACTACTTACCAGCTTGCATGTACTTCTCTAACTGCTCTCTCCTCTGTTCTACCTCTGCAGGCGTCAGAGAGAAAAGCTTCTTTGGGGGGAATGCAGGAAGCACATTGGCCCCATACTCCTTCCGGAGCTATGTAGAGAAAGAATAGAGCTGTTCATATAAACATAGAAAATGAGACGATTGAGACTATATCATCTTGATCCTCCCTATCTACTCTGATTATTTCCCATATTATCAAGAGTTAAAGTCTCAAGGGAGCAATCTTAGATATTGCTCTCACATACTGGTGTGTACAAGCCAGCCCCCCTCTCTAGTAAGACGTCAAGGAACCCTCACAGGAAGCATAGGGCTTTAAAAATAACATCTATGCACACAAATAATAAAAATCATTATCTTAGAAACTTGAAGGGATTTTGCTGGTCAAGGAATCCATTTTTTTTTCTGTTGCAGAAACTGAAGCCCAAAGAACTTAGGTTACTATTAGTTATGCAGAGTTGTACAACTATTAGTAGTAACAACTACAGCACTAATACATAACGACCAAAGGAACAACTGCACACACTAAAATGGACCAAAGGAAACGGGCAAATTGCCTGTATAAGCTGGGAAAAGGAATTTTTAAATTGCAGCTTAGATGACAGACTGTGCTTTGGCAGACAGGAGAGGTTCCCCTCCCCCTCCCCCCTCTCTCCCCCCCAATGGTTGAAAGAGCAGTTAAAAGGACCAGAAAAGCAGGAAGGAGGATTAAGCAAAGGGAGGAGCTGTGGTTAAAACTGCACAGAGAGTGCCTAGAAACATCAGATAAGAGTGTACATTCTCTTCGTAGCAGTGACTAAAGAGTGAACTCCGCCAGAGGGACTGGGAGATGCCCACGGTAGGAAAGGGTTTGAAGCTGCCTCCAGACAGAGCTGCTAGTCCCACCTGCTCGTGCAGGCCCAGGAGCTGGCTGTAGCGCACCCGGCAGTGCAGGACTCCATTCACGTGAATATTATAGGCCTGAGGACACAAAACAGGTATTTCAGGGTCGCAGATCGTATACCGCCCGCCCCAGAACCGTGGCAGGAAGTAATCTAAGACAGCTCTATTTATGTCCTGCCCTGAGATCTACTGGGTTTTAGTTTTCCCCAGGGTCAGGTCCCAAAGCAGAAGGGCCACCCAAGGAAAAACTGGCCACTTGTGCCGCAGTCTCCTTCCCCGAGAGGGCAGTGCTGCCCACCAGGAGGAGGCGGCCGGCACAACAAAGTATCAATTAGACGTGGGGCAAATCTTTACCAAAAACGGACACGAGCTATGCTCCCAGCGAGGTCCCCAGGCTCAGGGCCCAAGGGTGGTGGCTCGGCCTCGGAGACGGCTCCGCAGCCTCCAGCCCGTTATCCCCGCCCGGCCCAACTCCGGCTGCTCCTCACCACGTAGGCGGAGCCGCCGCTGTCCCCGCTGCGGGACTCGGTCTCAGGAATGGAAAAGTGCATGTTCCCTGTGGCAAGGCCCAGCCAGGTTCCAGACTGCGGGCCGCCGCGGCTCTGCACGCTCGCCTCTGCCGTTCAGCGCGTCCCCGTAGCTGCACTCGCCATTTTGGGGGCCTGAGCTCGGAGGTGGGAAGGCGGTAGGACGTAGACTCTGGAAGCTGCAACTCCAGCATGCTGGGAAGTGTAGTTGAAAGGGCTAGAGGAGCCCGTCCAGTACGGGAACCCAAAGCTGAAAGGGCCCTCACAGCAACCCGTAGCTCGGGGGCGGAGCCCAGTGCAGGCCGGAAGTTGTAGTTCTCTCGCGACTGCACGCCGCGAGTATGGGCGGCGGAGCCTCTGGCCCAGGTGGCGCTGTTTCCTGACCACGGCGGGAGGAGCCTAGGACGGAGAGCGATGGCTGCGGTGGCTGTGGCTGTTCGTGAGGGTGAGTGAAGGGACGGGCGCACCAACTGGTACGCGAGCCCGACGTGCCCGGGCCGGCCGGGGCTGGGCCCTGAGCTCCTGTGGGCCCTGTGGTTCCTTCCATCCCCGCGCCTCGCCGCGCCGCACTTTATACAGTCTCGGGCGCAGCCCCGCGCTGCGGGCCGGCTGCTCCCGGGAGGAGGGTGGGGGCCCCCTCCCCCTCCCCCTCCTGTCCTTTGATCCTGCCGCACAGCGCGTCCCCACGCGGTCCCGGGTCAGCTGGCGTCTGCAGGCAGAGCTGTGGTCATGCCAACCCAGCAGCCGGCCGCGAGGAGGACGAGTGCCCCCAGATCCTCCCGGAGCCTCTCTGGGTCACTTTGTGCCCTATTTTCTGATACAGATTCGGGATCCGGGATGAAAGCGGAGCTTTCCCCCCGGCCTGGGGTAAGTGAGAGAGATCTGTCTTCCTGTCAAGTACCACTCTGGGTGCTGTGTCAGTTTCATTCTGTTCCATCTCCCCATCACGTTTCATTGAATGTGTCAATAAAGCCAGAAGATTTTAGAGCCTAACGGTATGTGACCCTGGAGGAGAAGCTTCTGCCTTTGTGGGGTATAGGCTTGTCTCACTTGCCTTGAAGTTAGAGATGATTAGGGACTTAACCTTATGGGAATCTTACAAGCATCCAATACCGTTGATTGACTTGGAATTATTGAGAAAAGTGCAGTGTCCTATGTCTATGTCTCAGGCAGGGGGTAGGGAAATGACCCAAGAAGAGAAGCTGCAACTTCGGAAGGAAAAGAAACAGCAGAAGAAGAAAAGGAAGGAGGAAAAGGGGGCAGAATCAGAAACTGGCTCTGCTATTTCTGCAGCCCAAAATCAAGGTGAGGGGCTCTTTAAAGAGCTCGAGTGTGGTGCTGGTAGAGGGCTGTGGTAGGGGAGACAGAAGAGTTGATTTGAGCAGGTGAAATGTAAACAAGTTTAGATAAACCAAGACAAAGCTCTGGCTTTTGCATATATCAACTGCCTGGCCCTTGAGCACCTCTTTCTTCTACGTTTAGTAGGTCCAACCAGAGAACTACCAGTACCTGCCAGTCATTTAGGGGCCACTCAAGGGGAGAAAGTTCCAGCTGGTCGCAGTAAGGCTGAACTTCGCGCTGAGCGACGGGCCAAACAGGAGGCAGAGCGGGCCCTGAAACAGGCAAGAAAAGGGGAGCAAGGAGGACCACCTCAGAACTGCCCCAGCACAGCTGGAGAAACCCCTTCAGGTATTTTAATTTCAAACCCTCTGTTGCTACTAATTCTTGTACCCACTTAGGCGTCCATATACCAAAATCGTTTTTCCTGCCTGTTCTTACCTCAGGAGTCAGAGTTCAATATTTTTCTGTCCTATCCTTATCCCCTGTTCTTTCTTTGATCCTATGTTCCCTGGCTGTTTTCCCTACCCTATCTTCCTTGATGCCCTATGAGCATATTAGCCATTTCAAGATCCACAGTGGTTTGAAAATATAACCAATGTCTTTCAGGAGTGAAGCGTCTCCCTGAACGTATTCAGGTTGATGAGCCTACACTTCTGAGGAGACTTGTTAAAAAACCAGAGCGACAACAGGTAGGAAGTGGATTTGTAGTTGGCCACAAAGAGCCTAGGGAAATGGGCTAGTGAGAGGGAAATTGCTCAGGGCAAAGTAAGGATGATTATGTGGGTCAGATATTACTAATCACTTCATTTCCAGTTTTGTTTCATAAATTTTAAATTCTAGGCCTGTTCCTATTTCCTTATTTTGTCAAGGTTCCTACACGAAAGGATTATGGATCCAAAGTCAGTCTCTTCTCTCACCTACCCCAGTATAGCAGACAAAACTCCCTGACACAGTATATGAGGTAAGATTTTATGAAAATTGCCATAACTTTTAAGTCTGAAGCAATTGAATAGCTCAATGTTAAAAGTGAATGAAGAAGCCTAACACCTGTAATTCTAGCTACTCAGAAAGCTGAGATTTGAGGATCCTGGTTTGAAGCCAGCCTGAGCAGAAAAGTCTGTGAGACTCTTATCTCCAATAAACTACTCAAAAAAGCTGAGGTGGTGCTGTGGTAGAGTGATAGCCTTGAGCAAAAGAAGCTCAGGGACAGCACCCAGGCCCAGAGTTCAAGTCCCAGGACCAGAAAAAAAAAAAAAAAGACTGGAGAGCATGTGAGGATGGTTCATGCCATAAATCCTAGCTATTCAGGAGTCTGAGACCCAGAGAATTTGAAGCCATCCCAGAAAACTCCGTGAGACTCTACCTCCAGTTAACTAGCAAAAAACAAGGCTGGAGGTATGGCTTCAGTTGTGAGCAAGCAAGCCAACTAAACCTGAAGCACTGAGTTCAAGCCCCTGGGGCAGAATGAAAGAGAAAAAGTAAATGGGCCTAGAGGTGTGGCTCAGTGATAGAATGATGGCCTATTAAGTGTGAAGCTCTGAGTTCAAATCCCAGTACTGCCATAAATAAATAAGTAAATAAGTAGAAATTTGTGATGGGATCTGTGGGAAGAAGTGTACGTTAAAGATACTATATAGGAACTGGGACCTTGTGCTAGTAAAGGAAGTTCCTTTTCATAAGAGGCAGGGAGCTGTAGGTGCTCAAGTTCCCTTGCAAAGAATGTGACACCGCCATCCCATCAGCATCCCATCCTCTGTGATCCACCCAGCCATGGTGCGACTCGGCCTGCAGTACTCCCAGGGCCTGGTCAGTGGCTCCAATGCCCGGTGCATTGCCTTGCTTCGTGCCTTGCAGCAGGTATGTCTTGTCTGTTTTCTAATCCCCTACCCCATTTCCTCCCACACTGTCACAACCTTTTTATCCAAGGTAATCTCTGGGGCAAAGAGGGAATGACTCATAAACACTCCCCAGTCAAGCTTGCCCCCCTCCTACAATCCCCTTTCAGAGACCTTCATTGAGGGATATTTTGCTGATCAACCTGGGTACTTTGTAGGTAATTCAAGATTACACAACGCCTCCCAATGAGGAACTCTCAAGGGATCTTGTGAATAAACTAAAACCCTATATCAGGTAAATGCAAACACTACAAATCTCCCCTGTATAGTCAGTCCTTTTCTGCTACTGTTTCTTGCCTTTCTACTCTTTTCATTTTTCTGTTCCATTTTCTTTCTAAAGAAAATGTGACCAGGGCTGGGAAGGTGGCTCAGTGGTAGTGCGCTTGCCTTGCATACCTGAGGCCCTGGGTTCAGTTCCTCAGCACCACATAAGCAAAAAGAAAAAAGCTGGAAGTGGTGCTGTGGCTCAAGTGGTAGAGTGCTAGCCTTGAGCTAAAGAGCTGAGGGACAGCGCCCAGGCCCAGAGTTCAGGCCCCACGACTAGACCCCCCAAAAAAAAGAAAAAATGTGACCACTTTTGAAAGCTAACTAGTTGCACAAAACATGAGGTATTGTTTGTTGCAGCTTCCTGACTCAGTGCCGCCCCCTGTCAGCAAGCATGTGCAACGCCATCAAGTTTCTTAACAAGGAAATCACTGGTGTGAGCAGCTCCAAGCGGGAAGAGGAGGTGATGAAGCTGAGGAGGAATGGGAGAGGCGCCTATGGTTAGGGTTAAGTAACACATTCATAACTTTCAGGAAGACCAACACATACCACGCTACCCTAGTCACTGGGTAGGGAAATGGTTGGAAGTGTATCATGCCCCTTCATGTCCATCATTATACATATGCTCAAGCATCTGACATGACTACAGGAAGCAATATTCCATTTCCTGTTCCCTAAATATCTTATTCCATTTAGGCTAAGTCAGAACTTGGGTCAGCCATTGATCGGTATGTTCAAGAGAAGATTGTGCTTGCAGCTCAGGCAATTTCACGTTTTGCCTACAAGAAGATCAGTAATGGAGATGTAATCCTGGTATATGGATGGTACGCTCCAAAGGAAAACTGAGAAAACCTGGGTGGTGAATGATGGAAAGGATTACCCATTGGCCTTTACAAAATGGGCTGGCCACCACTTAGTGCCTTTCATAACTTGAGTTTCCTCTCCATCCACTCTAGCTCATCTTTGGTATCACGAATTCTTCAAGAGGCTTGGAAAAAGGGTCGACAGTTTCGGGTGGTAGTGGTGGACAGCCGACCCAGGCTAGAGGGAAGGCTCATGCTCCGTTCTCTAGTCCGTGCTGGGGTCCCTGCCTCTTACCTCCTGATTTCTGCAGCCTCCTATGTGCTCCCAGAGGTGAGAACAGAGAAAAGGGACTCCAAAGCTAGTGGCAAAGACTATAGTAAAAGACATAATCCTACCTTAAAATTGTTATGTAGAAGTTTAGAATACAGCCCTTCAGCGTGTTAGACCAAAATTTTGCTACTTCAAGAACATTATATTAAACTATCAACCATCAAGCTTCAACAAGACAAAAGTAAACTTAAAATTAAGTGGGGTGTGTGTATGTGTGCTGGTATTGGGGTTTGAACTAAGAGCCTGGTCACTGTCTTTCAGCTTTTTTGCTCAAAGCTCATACTTTACTTCTTGAGCAACAGCTCAAGTGTTTTCTAAGAGGAGTAACCATAAGGATTTGTTAGTTGTCTTAATATTACTTAGAAGAGGGGACCTTATTCTACATTGATAAAACGTAACTTTCCCCCCTCCAGTCCTAGGACTTGAATTCAGGCTCTGTCCCTCAGCTGCTGCTGCTGCTGCTTCCTCTTCCTCCTCCTCCTTTCTTCTGTCTTCTTTCTTCTTCCTTGTTGTTGCTGTTGTTGGTTGTGGGGCCTGAACTCTGGAACTGGGCGCTGTCCCTGAGCTCTTCAGCTCAAGGCTAGTGCTCTACCACTTGAGCCACAGTGCTACTTCCAGCTTTTTCTGCTTATGTGGTGCTGAGGAATCAAACCCAGGGCCTCATGCATGCAAGGCAAGCACTCTATCACTGAGCCACCTTCCCAGCCCCTCTGAACTTCTTTTGCTCAATTGAACCACTCTGCCACTTCTGGCTTTTTCCGTTTATGTGGTACTGAGGAATTGACGTAGGGCTTCATACATGCTAAGCAAGCACTCTACCACTAAGCCACATTCCCAGCTCCAAACATGACTTTTTTTTTTTATTCCCTTACTACATTGTCCAAAACCAACAGGTTTCTAAGGTGCTGTTAGGAGCTCATGCACTTCTAGCCAATGGATCCGTGATGTCACGGGTAGGAACAGCTCAGCTTGCACTAGTGGCTCGAGCATATAATGTGCCAGTCCTGGTCTGCTGTGAAACATACAAGTTCTGTGAGCGTGTACAGACAGATGCATTTGTCTCCAATGAGCTAGGTAAGCAGGACAGAAAAGAGGGAGAGGGTTGGTAAACATCATCTTCTTTCCTAAAAGAACATAATGGATCTACCTCCCATTGCAGATGACCCTGATGATCTGCAGTGTGAGCGAGGAGAACATGTGGCCCTGGCTAACTGGCAGAACCACCCATCACTACGGTTGTTGAATTTGGTCTATGATGTGACTCCCCCAGAGCTTGTGGATCTGGTGATCACAGAACTGGGCATGATTCCTTGCAGTTCGGTGCCTGTTGTCTTACGAGTCAAGAGCAGTGACCAGTGAGCAGGAAGCAAGGATCAATAAATGACCCACACCCTACCCTTAGCAACTCTGCTGCCTTTGTATCTATTTGAGCATCGCCACCACTGAGGTCAGGAGTCCACACTCCCCACTGCCCCTCATCATGTGCTTCTAACCTCTGACCTTTGTGGAGATTCTCTCAGGGGATAGTTCCAGACCAGTCCCTTGGGGCCAAGGTGAAGGTCTGTGTAGGAATCAAAACCCATTTAGATCTCCAGGGGTTTGTTGTTATTGTTTGTGTTTTTCTAGTCTTGTGCTTGAACTCAGGGTCTCAGCACCATCCCTGAGTTTTACTGCTCAAGGTTAGTGCTCTGCCACTTGAGCCACAGCCCACTTTCAGCTTTTTTTTTTTTTTAAGTATTTGATGTACAGAGGGGTTACAGTAGTCATATAATTAACTTTTAGCTTTTTGGTGGTTAATTGGAGAGGAGTCTCACAGACTTTTCTGTCTGGGCTGGCTTTGAACTACAATCCTCAGATCTCAGCCTCTTGAGTAGCTAGGATAACAGGTGTGAGCCACTGGCACCCAACTAGATCTCCAATTATTAATATTGAGCCTCTGATGCCAGACTCTGCACTAGTTATCAGGAGGAATGCAAGGACAAATAGAGTCATAGTTCCAGCACTCAGGAGGCAGAGACAGAAGGATCTCAAGTGCAAGGCCACCAAGACCATCTCTCAGAAAACCAAGGACTGGAATGCAACACTGTAGAGTTGCTTGCCTTTTATTTTTTGTTTGAGACAGGGTATCACTTAATAGCCAGGCTGGCTACAAATTCAAGCTCTTCCTGCCTATGCCTCTGGAGGACTGAGATTATAGGCATATCTCACCACACCAGGTTCTACTTACATAATAATATATATATATAATAATATATAATAATGTCCTTAAATTCATGTGTTATCAGTGCTTATGTATATCATATATAGCTGCTTACTTAATAAAACGGATTAACTACAGTGTAAACTGTAGTGCTAGTATGAGCAGAATCTTTGGGAACAGCCAAGAACCATGCTATTAGATGTAGTAGTGTTAGATGGATGCTAGTGGCCCTTGCCTGTAATTCTAGCTACTTAGGAGATTGAGATCTGAGGATTGTGGTTCAAAGTCAGCCTGGGAAGGAAAGTTCATGAGACTTACCACCAATTAACCACCAAAAATCCAAAAGTGCATCTGTGGATCAAGTGGTAGTACAGTAGTCTTGAGCAAAATATCTCAGGTATAGAACCTGGACCCTGAGGAGCCCAAGACTGGCACACACAAAAAGACTTCATAAGTAATATGTGACTTATCTCTGAAAGAAGCACTTTCCCAGCTAAGAATGAGAAGGCAGCAGATGAAATCACTACGCACAGAATGGCCTTAAAGGAACTGGTTAATTTCCAAGTCAAATATGGTAAGGCTTAATGCTTAGAATAATAATAAAGCTCCAAAGGCAGGTTGGGACTAGATTGTGAGAGTCTAGCCACTGGTTATCTCAAAATGGAAAACCATCCTTTTTTTTTTTTTTTTCTGGGTCTGGGCGCTGTTCCTCAGCTCTTCAACTCAAGGCTAGCACTCTACCACTTGAGCCACAATGCCCACGTCTGGCTTTTTCTGCTTATGTGGTATTGAGGAATTGAACCCAGGGCCTCATGCATGCAAGGCAAGCATTCTACCACTGAGCCACCTTCCCAGCCCAGCCATCCCTTTTACTTACTCTGTTTTACACAGAATTCTCATTACTAGATGTAACAATTACCAGGATTTGTCACATTTACTGTCTACTTCTTCCTTGCTAAAGTTTATTTTGTGCTTTTTTTTTTTTTGGTTAATTGCAGCTAGATTTTTTTGGATTTTCTCCCTGTGCTGGCTTTGAACTTCCATCCTCAGATCTCAACCCCTGAGTACTTAGGATTATAGGTGTGAGCCAATGTACGTGGCCTGAATTTACTTTATAGCAAATTTGAGACAATCATTCCTGCAGACCTCATTGTGTCTTATAGAAATTTACCATAAAATCATCATATTTATTAAAATCCTTCATAGTTTCCAATCCATAGTCAGGTCTCCTTGGTATATCTAAAATTGTTGATTTTAAATCAGGGTCTGTTCTAGCTCTTAAAAAGAATTGGGAGTGTGGCTCAGAGGTAGAGAACCTGCCTAGTATACCTGAGTTCCATCCCTAGCACCAACAAGGAAAAAAAGTAGTTTCTCCTTCCTTTTCCCATGACTTGTACAAACCAGGTTTGCTTTACCTGTTTTTTTTTTTTTTTGTCACTCGTGGGGCTTGAACTCTGGGCCTGGGCACTGTCCCTCAGCTCTTCAGCTCAAGGCCAGTGCGCTCTATCACTTGAGCCACAGCGCCCACTTGAGGCTTTTTCTGTGGTGCTGAGGAGTTGAACACGGCCTCATGCATGTAAGGCAAGCACTCTACCACTGAGCCACTTTCCCAGCCCCTCAAACCAGGTTTTCATAAGGTGTTTTACATTTTGGATTAGAGTTTGCTTTCATAAAGTAACTCATTCCTCCAAGCCCTGTATTTCTATTTAGCTTTGGGGATAGGGATACTTCCTAAGTTTTTCATATTGCCTCATGTAAGTAGGCAAATAACTACTAGTTGTTCCATTTTTATTGACGTGTGGATCTAGGCGTTTTAAAACTCCTCCTAAACCTTTCATTTAGTGTTTTTGTTTTTTTTTGGGGGGGGGGATCTGGTCGTGGGCCTGAACTCTGGGCCTAGGTGCTGTCCCTCAGCTCTTCAGCTCAAAGCTAGCACTCACCACTTGAGCCACAGTGCTACTTCCAGCTTTTTCTGCTTATGTGGTGCTGAGGAATCAAACCTAGGGCCTCATGCATGCGAGGCAAGCACTCTACCACTGAGCCACCTTCCTCACCCCATTTAGTGGTTTTATCCACTGATGATTATTGCCTTGAATAATTTCACTAGAAGATGCCAAATAGTGATTTTTCTTAATTCTATCATTCCACATTTACTAGCCAGTAATTTTCTATAAGGAGAAACTACTCAGGTGGCTGAAATCTGAAGATCACAGTTCAAATCCATGAGACTTTTAACTCCAGTTAACCACTAGAAAAAGCAGAAGTGGTGCTGTGGCTCAAAGTGATAAGCCTTGAGCAGAAAAAGCTCAGACAGTGCCTAAGCATTGAGTTAAAAGGCCCAGAATGGATTTTTTTTTTAAAAAGGAAGGAAAACAAAAGAAAAACTACCTCACATCAGTTGATGTGAACTATGCTTTGTACTGGAAAGGCAGGATAAATGCTTCATTTTTGTCCCTTTTATTTGCCAATTTTCAGAAATTGAGTCATTAGTTTCTCCTGGTGGTTTACAATGAATACTTGAGTAGTTGATTTTTTTAAGTCCTGGAACTATCCTGTCTACCTGCCTCATGTCCGGTAATTCTAGGATTTAGGTAGGCCTGCACCAACACACTTGGCAGCATTTTCTTTTTTCAGATCAGTATAAACTCAGGGATTTTAATATATTGAGTCTACCTCTCAGTCATCAGAATTATACTAGGTAATAGAATCTAGGAAAATAACTTAGCAACTACAGGCAGAAACATGGCTTGGTTAAAAAAAATTGCTTTTCAATCAAAATTATAAACACCCTTAAACTTTGACCCAGTGATACTTCATCCTACCAATATAGTAAGCACATGTTGAAGTAACTCAGATGCAAGGCTATAAACTGCTATAAGCAGCATTGCTATAATAACAAGACTTAATAGCCATTGATATCAATAAAGCACTACTATTAAGTTAAATACAATTAAATACTAAAGTCGGAGTAAGGAAGCCTTTTAAATGCACAAGTGGAACAATCTCCAATCTTTTAAGATACAGGAATGTATATTGTTACTGTTAGAATTGAAAGAGAAAAGGTAAGTATAATTAAAATGTTCTGGGCCAGCAACAAAAAATGAATTAATTGCCTGCATGGCTGGGTCTTGTATCTTTAGAATTTTGAGACATGAATGTCTTCTTGCAAAAATAAATGCAGTCATTAACTTAAGAGATTTTTGCCATAGTTTAAATCAAAGGTAGCCTAATTAGAGGCAGCAGAATTGAAGAGATAGACTTGTTCTGTTCAGAAGTGAAAATTTGAAACTAGAGCTCCCCATCACCCAAGTGGTTAGAGGCTCACATCTAAAGAAGGAAGGGGACACCAATCCCTAATACTCTGGCAACTAATGGAGTGGAATTTCGTGTCCCCTTCCCCCTCATCTAGATCTTGGTTATCTCATGTATGTAATAGGTGTATTTTAAAAGTTTTTTTTTTTGAGACAGTTTTATGCTGTCCAGGTTGAGCAGAAATCCTGGACGTCCGACTCCCGAATAGCTGGGAGTATGACTGCACCTAGCTTTCTCCCCTAATTTTCTTAAATGTTTAGTGCAACCACGGAATTAATGGGCAGAACTATCTGGGGAGACAAACGTTGGCTTATCGCACCCCTTCCCGACCACTTATACACCCTTTATTCTATTCTGGGTATGTGGAGACCTGTGAGGCTTTTATGACTTTAAATGACAGGAACATTGAGTTGCATCCCTTCCTTCACCTCCCTCGCAGGCCATCTCGAAAAGGATAGGTTGAGGGTCCTTCGGAGTGCAGCGTCCCCCAAGCTATACTTTTCTTCTGCTCCTCCCTTCCAGGTCCCTTTTCCTAGTTCCTTTTCATTTTCTTCCGGCCCAAGGTCCATCCCAGGCTTTAGTAGTGGCAAAAGCTAGTCTAATCCCCTGGCGGCTGGCAGCTGGCGGCTGGTTGGACTCTGGGGCTGACGGCTAGGGTTGCACTTAAGATCAGACTGCAGATAGGTCTGGCGCCGCCCTCCACGGCCGCACCTGGGCGGAAGGGCAGTTCCGAGCGAGTGCTTAAAAGGGACTGCCGAGACCCTGAGATCACGTTCCTGCTGCTCCAGTCGAGACGGCCGGGGGTTCGCGAGACTGCGCAGGCGCGGGTTCCCAGTCGAGCGCTGCAATTCCCAGAAGGCCTTGCAGCGTCCCTACGCCGAGGACGTCGCGCTCCAGACTCGCGGGCGCCAAAGGGCTCAGACTGCCGCCGCGCTGCATTATGGAACACAGAGTCTGAAAAACCCTGAGCACTAACTCCCGGACCGAGCTAGGCGCTTCCTTGGCTGGGGGGGGGCGGGGCAAGGAAGAGCCGATATAAGGTTTCGTCATAAAACCGCGACCAGACAGGCGGCGCCATCTTCGAACTTGGACTTCCGGAAGGACTTTGGCGCGGGTGAGTGTACCGCAGCGGGGTGTGCGGGGGGCTGGCGATTACTCCTCCCCTTCTTTTGCAGTAGCGCTGAGACCTTGGGAACCAACTCCCGACTTCTCTCTTACCCCCGGGCACGGCGGCGCGCCCTCTGGCTTCTGCGCTCCCACAGAAATCCATCACGTTCGCACCTCCTTCCCCACCGTGGCCACCAAGCGTCCCCCATCTCCGAGCCGAGGGTCTGGCCTACTTCCTCCACGCGGTGTTCTAGCCTCGGCGCCGCGATCTTTGCGCCTCTTGCACCCAGCAAACCTACAGTGGTCCTCCGTTTTGGGGAAATCGGGGTTCGCCTCTCACGCTGGCTAGTGGTGAAAGCTGCCCCCCTCGGCCAGGTTTCAGGGGAGGGCTGGCGGCGGGCTCTGAAGTGGTAGCGGTCCTTTCTGGTGTGTCCCAGCCCTTTGCTTGAGATAGCTCTAGCCCCAGGGATTGTGCCCCGCGCGCTGTAGTCCCATTGGCGCAGCCAAGGGCCAGTTATGTTTCCCTGTCAGCTCCTTGTATCCCGCGCAAGTTGGCTGGCTCCTGGGGGAGATGGTGGTAGTGACTTGGGTCCACCTGAGCTAACTCACTTTGCTGGAGAAATGTAGGCGATGAACAGACTTCTTCACTCAAAGCCCTATTGTTACACAAGTCTTGCCAATATAACTTTTTTGCCATCCTTATCAACTGTAGAGTTTTGGTTTTTTTTTTTTTAGAATCAGTTTATTTTAAGCTTAAGTGGACTTATGGACTGAAATCGTGGGCTACAGTTTTTGGGGTTTTTTAAAGTTTATTTTTTTTCTTTGTGCCGGTACAGGGCTTGAACTTAGAGCCTGAATGTAGTCCCGGAGCTTTTAAGCTCAAGGCTAGTGCTCTTATCATTTGAACCACACTTCCCCTTCTGGCTGTTTTTGGTAGTTAATTGGAGCTAAGAGTCTCTGAGATTTTTCTACCCAGGCTGGCTTTGAACTGGGATCCTCAGATCTCAGCCTCTGAGTAGCCAGGATTGTAGACGTGAGCCCTTGGCTCCCCGCTTCATCATTTATATGATTTCAGTTTCTTTCTCTGTGGCTGCCTTTTTTTGATTGTTTGTTTTGATTTGCCATTGTCTTATCTCTTCTCTCTCTTTGATCTCTCACTGTGGTTCTTTTTCATTTTGTGTCGCTCCTAAGACTTGAACTCAGAGTCTCGGCACTGTCCCCGAACATCTTTGCTGAAAGCTTGAACTCTTGAGCTTGAACCACAGCTCTACTTCAGGCTTTTTAAAATATACATTTAATTGGAGATAAACTCCTGGGCTCTTTTTCAGGTGCTAGCTTCAAACCTTGATTAAAGGTGTCAGCCCACATGCCCAGCTTGTTGGGTTTCAAGTATTGAGTCTGACCACCCCCCCCTTCATGCTAGTTTTTGTTGCATCTCCCCCTCCCCAGTTTTTCTGGGGCTTTGTGTGTGCATGTGCATGCCAGTGGCAGTCCTGGGGCTTGAACTCTTGACCTGGGTGCTGTCCCTGAGCTTTTGTGCTCAAGGCTAACTATCACTTGAGGCACTGCTCCACTTCCAAATTTTTTGGTAGTTTATTGGAGACAAGAGTCTCAAGGACTTTCCGCCAGAAGCTGGCTTCAGACTTCTAGCCTCAAATCTCAATTTCCTGAGTAGCTAGGATTGCTGGTATGAGCGAGCCACTGGAGCCCACACAGCTTTCTGGAGCAATTTTAAAGGATACTTTACACTTTTTTCCTTTTTTGGGGGGGGGGTGGAGTCAGTCATGGGGCATGAACTCTGGGCCTGGGCACTGTCCCTGAGTTTTTCTGCTCAAGGCTAGTGCTCTGCCATTTGAGCTACAGCTCCACTTCCAGTTTTCTGTTGGTTTATTGGAGATAAGAGTTGCAAGGGACTTTCCTGTCCTGGCTGACTTCCAATTGTGATCCTTGGATCTCAGCCTCCTTGAGTAGCTAGGATCACAGGGGTGAACACCCTCTCCCCCTTATACTTTTGTTTCTATTCTTAACTCTTTGTATAGTATAGGTAAATAGGAAGGTTTCATATTGGATACTTTCTGCTTAATACTCATTGAGTGGGATAGTTTTAGCAGGTTTTCACTTAACAAAGAACAATGTAGGTGGATTCCTTGACTTCATTTTTCCTTCTCTGTCATGTATATCTCTGTAGTATGTGATGCTACATTGTTTCTTTAGCACTATAGTTAAATGAATTGGCTATTGTAGCTGTTTATAATCTGTTTAAAGTGTAGCTTTTTCAAAGAAAACAGTTAGAAACTTGATTTCTGTAGTTTCTTTGTTATTTCTTTTTAAGACAGCAGCTTATTTAGCCCAGAATAGTCTTGTACTCATTGTCCTGCCTTTTCAGCCTTTAAGTGTTGAGATTACAGGTGTGTGTTACCATACCCAGAAGTATTTATATATTTCTAGAAAGCTATTTGTCCAGCCCTGAATTTGTGCATTTTTATAGTATTTATAGCAGCACACTTTCCACTGAGCCCATCAGCAGACCTATGGAAGTTTCCTTTCTGGTAGTTGAACTTTTTCTCCTCCTTTGTCCTGGGCAAACAGATTGTTCTGGGCTAAAACTGGGCCCTTGAGGAGTTGTGGTTGCTCAGGCTTTTGAGATGGTAGTGTTTTCAGTCCGCTAATCTTTTTTGGTCAAAAGCTTGCCTATCTGATTGTCTGGGATTGAAAAGATTGATGACAATTTAGTTCATTCTTTTTTGTTTTGTTTTTGGTCCATGGTGGGTCTTGAACTCTGGATCTGGGCACTGTCCCTGAGCTCTTTAGTTCAAGGTTAGTGCTGTGCTACTTGAGGCACAGCACTACTTCTAGTTTTCTTTTTTTTGGGGGGGGGTCCG